TTCACCTCTAGAGTTATATTTTTATTTTTTATCAACCACTATAATCATAATAAAATTAAATGATGATTTTTTAAATATATTTATTATTTAATTAAAAATATTTGAAATATAGAAAACATTGTATTGCAATTAAAATTTTTAATATATTAATAATGATATAAATTTAATTTTATTTGAATTTATATATATAAAATATATTTAAATTTATATTTTTTATATTAAAACATATATAAATATTTTTGTTATATATCAAATATGAATTTAAAAAATATGATTTAATAAAAAATATTTTTGTTATATATCAAATATGAATTTAAGTTTATATTTGTGTTATATTAAAAAAATATATAAATATGAATTTAAAAAATATATCAAATAATAATATTTTATATATATATATATATATATACACACAATTGACCAGTCCGATCAACTAATTCTGACTGGTTCATTGGAAACCAGTTCGTTCAAAGGGATCCAACCATTTGACCGATTCTAAAAATTAAAAATGGTAGTAGTTGATATTATTTTCAAAATAATACGTTTTAAATTTTTATTAACCTCTAAAATTATATTTTTATTTTTTTATCAACCAATATAATTATAATAATATTAAATAATTATTTTGTAAATATACATATTATTTAATTAAAAATATTTTAAATACAGAAAACATAATAATATAAATTTAAATATATTTGAATTTATATATATCAAACATATTTAAACTTATATTTTTCTTATATTAAAAAATATAAATATTTATTAATTTATTTAAAAAATATATATTATTGACCAGTCCATTCAACTAATTCTAATTAGTTCCTTGGAAACCAATCCGTTTAAACTTTAAAGGAATCAAACCGTTTAGTTGACCGATTCTCGATTCAACAACAATTTTCACCCTTTTCAAACTAATGACAAACGGTGACTTAAAGGTCAGTTAGATTTGGGACCAATTGCGCAACAAAAATTAGTTAAAGACTGAAATTGCGCTTCTTGGGACTAAAATTGCGATCGTCCCAATATAACGGGACCAAATTTGCAATTTCCTCTATTATGTTCATATAGATATAGATTTTCATATGCAAGCATCCCGCTTTAAATAACAATATAAAAAAAATGTGACAATGTTCAATATAAGTATGATTTTTGTTCAAAAAGTAGAACGGCCCGACTCACCTAACCTTTAGGCTATACAATAATTTGTGACATTTTAAATAGACATATGTTACATATTGTATCACCAAATTCATTAAGATTGCTATTAGGCAAATCTAACCGTTTAGACAGTTTCAACGGATATACATACTTTCAAAATAAAATATCATAATAACATATATATGTAATAAAATTATTATATTTTAATATAAGTACTTGTGTGTTTGTTAGAAATATATAATGTGTCAATCCGCGTAAGTGTCTTCAACTACATAAGTTCATTCACATCATTTAAGTATTTAAGTCCACAAACTCCAACATTTTTTTTTTTAAAAGTTGAAAAAGAAATTGATTAAACTCGAAATATAGTACCATCGAATAACTAAATGGTTGCAAAACAACTATCCTAGGTTCAAAGAGCATCTAACTAGGACAGATCGGGAGAGAGAAGAAATAAATCAATATTACTCCCCCTCAAAAAGTCATTATAATTCAATCGCATATTTACATCACAATGAAACGAAAAACAAACAAAGTTGTCCAACAAAAAATAAATGTCCTCAACTATAACCCAAATCGAAGAATCGGAGGCAACCTTCTTGTTCAGTCCGAGACCAACCTTTCCCAAGGACGAGATATAAGCACCAACAACTAACACAAACTGTTCTACTCCCATTGTCCCATGGAAAAACATTCTTCATGGTTAAGATGGTAAGACAACACGCTAGACTCATTAGGTTGCGTGTCAATAGCACCATCAAACTTAATTAAACAGGGTAACCACTGAACCACAAGAACCTCGCCGTCCCTCCTTCCTCAATCATGCCTCTCACTTCTGATCTTCTTCCCCATAAACTCCTACTATTCATGCAAAGCCGAGCGAACAATGTTTTTGTGAGTCGGCCACACTTTCTGAAACTGCCAAAGATTGCGTGACTTCCATAGAGAACATAATATACAGGTGACTAACTAAATTCTTGCCTCATAAGTCTCATTGTGATTTATTGAGCAAACAAACCACCACCATTCCTTGAAGTTTTGAGTAGACAACTTGCTTCCCTCTTAATTGGAGTCAGCCTCCAAATTTTATGAGCTTTGTTGCACCTACAGAACAACCGTTCAGCTATTTCATCCTCCTTCTCACACTTGTGACATATACTCCCTTCTTTTTTATAATAAGTGTCGTTTTGAGAAGTTGCACAGTAATTAAGAATATTTTTTTACCAATAATAACCCTCATTAATGATGATAGAGATAAATGTTTTGAAAAAAGATGAAGAGTGAATATGAAACGACGTATTTATTAGCTATATGAGGGCAATAATGGAAAAATATGTACAAAAGATCCAAAACATCATTTATTTTGTTAATTATTGATAAAGCTAAATGACACTTATTAAAAAAAGGAGGTAGTACTATTTACTTTCAAGTTTCAATCCTCTCATCCTCAAATTCACATTGACCTAACTTGCTAATACTAATTGTTAATTAATAACTTCATTTCAGTACTAACTTCTTATAATAAACTACATTGCTAATTATCGGTCTCAATCAACCATAATCTCAATTATTAAAAATAAATAATGACAAACTATCGATTCCTTTAGAAATTAAATTATTGAAAATAAACATGAAAAACATCTATTATTTTTCATTATATTATTATCTAAATCAAAATATTACCAATACAAAATCTTGTTTTGACAAAAGAATATGTCAAATAGATTAACTCATAAAAAAAATCAACACAAGTTGGCATTTTTATTATAGTTCAAATTCATTCCTACTTTCTTCTNATTAATTTATTAAAAGTTTTATTGTAATTCAGCAGCACTCAAATTCCCCAATTCTTATTTTTCATTCTTCACACATCGTCTTTACCTAACCATCTACACCAAAACACACGCAGTCGGCGAAAAATCCTGCAATGGCCCACCAGCTAACCCGCCGCGCCACCACCATCCTCCGACCAGCCTCAGCCACCGCTTCTGCCACCCGACGCCTCACCACCTCCGACACCACCCCGATCACCGTCGAGACCCCGCTCCCCTTCACCGCCCACAACCTCGATCCGCCGTCTCGATCCGTCGAGACCACCCCGAAGGAGCTCCTCTCCTTCTTCCGAGACATGGCCCTGATGCGCCGCATGGAGATCGCCGCCGATTCCCTCTACAAGGCGAAGCTGATCCGAGGGTTCTGCCATCTGTATGACGGCCAGGAGGCCGTCGCCGTCGGGATGGAGGCGGCGATCACCAAGAAGGACTGCATAATCACGGCTTACCGCGACCACTGCATCTTCCTTGGCCGCGGGGGCACGCTCCTGGAGACGTTCGCCGAGCTCATGGGGAGAAAGGACGGGTGCTCCAAGGGGAAAGGGGGCTCGATGCATTTCTACAAGAAGGACGCAGGATTTTACGGCGGCCATGGGATTGTCGGGGCTCAGATTCCGCTGGGGTGTGGATTGGCTTTCGCGCAGAAGTACAGTAAGGATGAGAACGTCACGTTCGCTATGTATGGAGACGGTGCGGCCAATCAGGGTCAGCTGTTTGAGGCTCTGAATATGGCTGCGCTGTGGGATCTGCCGGCGATTCTCGTCTGCGAGAACAATCACTGTAAGTTTCTGAATGATGATCGTGTGGTTGGTTGTAATCAAAAGCAGAGATGTCATTGATTGGCTTTTGTATTTGCTTGTGGTTGGAAGTTCTTGAATGATGATGCATTTGGTATTATATAACTGAATACTGTGGCTGAGTTGCTTAGCTACTGAATTATGTATAATTACAACTGTTTTGGTTTAAAGTTATGTTGGTATTTGAGAGAGATACTGCACAGTCGAATGCCGTTTTAAGTCTAAGATGAGGTTCGTCCTAATGTTTTGTTTCTGGCAACTTAGTTGCTTGATTTCCACGGATGTGTAGGTACATTAGTCATTGAAATCTCCAACATCTACTTTACTTCCTTTTGGATAACAAAAATGAAATTTGGAAGAATAACTATTTAATGCTTGAGAAGTAGTAAAACCATAAGTACTTAACCGTGCGTTGATCAAATACTTTCTTGTTGTTTAGATTAGTTTACTGTTCACAAAAGTTTTGAAAAAAAAATGATTAATTTAATTGAACTGGTGCACAGATGGAATGGGCACAGCAGAGTGGAGGGCAGCTAAAAGTCCAGCTTATTACAAGAGAGGAGATTATGCTCCTGGGTTGAAGGTGAATTGGGCTTTTGTACTTTAACTGTCACTAAGTGTTTTTTCTCTTAGAAAGAAGATTGTTTCAACTTTCCTGCAATGCTTCATTCTTAATAAAGAAAGGTTGGGGTATTCTTTTTTCTTCTTAGAAAATTGAAATGGTATACACTAGGACGGGAGGTAGATATTGAAGGGACTCAACGTCCTATTTGGGCTCTGTTTTTTTTCTCCAAAATTACTTAATTGCTGCCGTCTAGGCCATGGAAGTTATCACCTTCATGCCCACATGAATGTGTTGTGCGGTAAATTGTAACTAATCATTTTCCAGTGCGATGAAATTTTAAAAAGTGGGTTGCATGTTGGACACACTTGGTTGGGTATTTGATCTCATGTTCAATGACTTCCCTTGTGGCGCAAATTAGGGAAAAGATAAAAGAATAAATCAAGGTCTTTTTGCCGTTTTACTTTGTTCACTATGAACTCAGATTGGTTTTTCAGTTGCAACCAGCTCCTATTAGCAGCAAAACAAAACTACGTACAAATGCATGTAGAAATCATGAATGTGAGGGGGCTGCAGAAAATTCCAGCTGCCTCTGTTCTGTCAATTGTTGCTTTATTAATTACCTCGTTCCAATGTGATAGTTTCCTTATGCATTTTTACAGAGCTAATGAGGAAATAATTATAAACCATTTGGTTATGGGCATAATTGAGTGACAGGCAGATCTGGGAAAATATTTGACAGGGAAGGTATTATCGTATAAGTGCCTGATTTAGGACATAAACTTACGAATATTATTATGTAAATGAAGGGATGAGATCGACAATAGGTGGTAAAAAATATTCGGCATTTTGTCTTGGGCAGACATTATTTGTTGACGGCAGTTCTTCTGTTCTTGCGTCTTGTATAAAATTTAGGTTCAGTTTCATTTATGATTTTATGCTCTTCAATCAGTCACACTATGTTGCAGTTTTGTATAAATCCATTATTTAGTCCTTGGTTTGTGCTATTTCTAAACTTCAAATAGAAACAAGAAACCCACACTTGGATATGCTTTCATTTTAAATTCCTTCTTCCACTTGAGGAAGTGTTCCGAAAACATTTTGGGGAGATGTTGGCAAGTGTGAGTGGATTTAAAATGCAAATATAATGATTAAAATTGATGTGATGAAAAAGTAATGCTATAATGATTGATATTTAGAGGTATATGAATGAATGAATTTTAAATTGTATAAGAAAATGTGTAGCTATGATTGAGTTTTTTCTTTTCTTCTTTTTTCCCCTTTAAAGGCATTGATAAAGCAGAAGGAAAAAGTGGGCTGAGTGGATAGTGTACTTTGTTTAAAAGAAAAAAACTTATTTATGTAAATAGCAAATGTATGATATCCAAACGGTTGTATTTGTGATTTTTATTTTATTTTTTGAATTTTCTAGGAGATGCATGTATATTTTATCTCTTGTAAATATATTCATTGTTTATTGGTACCTGAAAACAGGTTGATGGTATGGATGCCCTTGCAGTGAAACAAGCATGCAAGTTCGCCAAGGAGCACGCCCTAAAGAAGGGCCCTATTGTGAGTAAATTTGTGTTCCTACTTTTTCTACTCTATGTGTGCATTTACATATTTGTAACTTGTAGTTTTCTTAAGTCCCGTTGCTATATGTTCCATTAAAAACCACTAAAAGTTGTTGACATTCATGTTGTCATTGCACCTTATACTAAAGAGCTGCAAAATGAGGAATTGACATTGAGCTCACCGTATACTGATAATTGTTATATATGTGATCTCTATATATTCTTCATCTGCTATGATTGCGTTCCTTTCTAATTTTTTTTTTTGTTATCCTGTTGGTTCATCATTTTTGGCCTGCTTGCAACTTATGATGATTTGTAGATATTAAAGTTGATTACTTAAAGCAATTTAAACATCCTCGAAGTAGTCAAACTGCAGTGAAACACTAATATATTTGAGTTATCGCATTTCTTGAATCTTTTAACAAGTGAAGCAAACTCAAGTATATATAGCAGACTTTAAAGAGATAAAACGAAAACCAGTATATATAGCAGGCAAATATGACTTTTTATGAACCTCGCCTGTTTTTCATAAACTAAATCTAGAGAGCCCTGTACTATTGATATTTTCCTTTTCGCTATATGGATAACTTTGGAAAAGATAGAAATAAAAAAAGCGGCAAACATGATTCTTCATGATTTCGCCCTTTTTCTCATATTCTAAATCTAGAAGCGTCTTACTCTTACTACTGATCTTTTTATTCAATATTTACAATCTATCACTCTTTGATGGTTTCCCTGTTTTGTTTACAAAATAACGTTGATATTAATTTTAGACTGCTTGATTTCGGTTCAGGTCCTTGAAATGGACACATACAGATACCATGGACACTCCATGTCTGATCCTGGTAGCACATATCGTACACGTGACGAGATTAGTGGCATTAGACAGGTAAATAATAATTTTTTGAATGTTCTTGCTTAATGCCTAGTACTTTTGTCCTCATTCATGTTTATTGAATTATGGATTTTTTATTATTTCTTAGGAACGTGATCCAATTGAAAGAATCAGAAAGCTTATACTATCACACAATCTTGCCACTGAAAAGGAAATGAAGGTAATAGAACTAATAATATATTTTTGTTCGCTTTTTTTTCTTTTTCTTGTCATTTTATTGGCTTGCACTTGTGCATATTACCCCTGTCGAAATATTTCAACAGCATGCATGATGAATGAAGTTGTCTGCTACTTTTCTTCTTTTCTTGATTTTTCACCTTAGGACCACGAGAAAGAAGTGAGGAAACAGGTGGATGAAGCCATTGCGCAAGCTAAGGTTAGGACTTAGAACTAAATCTGGCACCCATTTAGAAAACACTGAGTTTTTTCAGTTTTATGCGATGGGCTCAAATTAAATATTTTCGGGTTTTCAGGAGAGCCCCTTTCCTGATTCCTCTGAGCTATTTACAAATGTATACAAGAAAGGCTTTGGAGTTGAGGTAACAATTAGATTTGTCACATTCATTTTTCTCTGAGAAAACAATACCCTCGAAAAAAAAAAACCGAGTATGCAAGCTCTAGTCTGTCTAGTATTATTATTCCAGCTAGGTAGTGGTCAATTTTGATGAATTTTTGAGTCATTTGACAGGCTTTTGGGGCTGACAGGAAAGAGTTGCGAGCTGTTCTTCCATGAAACCAGCATCAGCAAAACCTTCCATTTTTATGCTTGCTCTCGAGTTAACATGCAATAAACAGATTTAGCCAATGAAAGTGTTTATCTTATTAGAATCTCTCCATATTTTGGGTGACAATTGCGGCCTTTATTGTTTACACATTTGCATATTTTTGCGTGTGGATAATTGTTTAATTATCTCTTTTTAGTTTCAGTAGTGAAACAAAGTTATCCATTGAATTTTTTCGACTGAACTTTCCGATCTGTCAGCTTGAGAGAACCTACCTTTGTCCAAAGCTCTATGATTTAAATGTATAGCGTATGTTTCGAGTTGCGGAAAAGGAATGATAAGAATTATTATCAGTCCTAGTTTGTGTGTTTGCGGATTTGGAGAATGGCCTGTGGGATAGGCAAAGACCCGTGATTATATTCATAGATTTTTGGTAAAGGGATATCTAAAGTTTGCAAACATCCAAATAGGACTATAATATTTCTGTGAGTAATAATTGGTTCATAGTAATTGCAAAAGTGATCTTAGACGATAAATTACGTCGTTATTTAGTAATCATGGAATATATTTTGAATCTTTGATAATCTTTTCTACTCTTTTGTTACTTGGTGGTTAGATTAGTTTATCCATTTGAAATGTGGAATGTATTTTGAATCGTTGATCCATCTCTCTACTATTTTCTTACTTGATTAGATTAGTTTATAAGAAACACAAAAAAAAAAGGAAAAATACTAGTTTATTATAAACAAAATAAAAAAAAAATGACACAGTATTTTAAGTATGTACTATCCTTTTTTTTCTGTCAATTATTCTGTTTGTGTAGCATAATATATCCATTTCGAGCCAATTGCAATCTAGGCGAAAGATAACTTTGTAGATGTACGTAAGGTATTTATACACTCACTTTGTTAACTATCACACAATTAAACTATTTTGATCCTATGTGAGTTCATTAACATGCTTATATATACAAAAATGATATACATCCAGCACGTGAAGCCAAATAGTTGTAAAATTTGATGATGGCATGATGCCAATGTTATAAGAGAATCCTAAGCAAACTTAACAAATATGCTGCTCTTGTCAATTTCTTAATCCCAAGATTCTCTTTGTTGTTCACTTTATTACATTGTACAACCACTATGGGTAAAAAGTTAACAAATATGTGGCTTCACATGTTTCCACGATGGGTAAAAAATCAAATTCACTTAAAATTTAATTCAATTCCACTATCTTTAATATTATTAATATAATTAAATAATATCAAACAATCATTCTTAAATTTTAATTCATTATTCATTCACTCACATAATTTATCTAAACATTACTTCACATCTTCTCTCTCCTATTTTTACATCAAATCAATTCTAATTATTTTATTTTAAATATTATGTTATTATAACCTCAAAATCCTACTAACTAACCATACCAACCTTTTGAAAAGTAACTCAAGTTAACCAAATTTTGAGTAAATATATTTAAATATATTCTTTTCATTATTATCTTCAGCTTGTTATGTTCTTTTATTGAAGTGGGTAGGGTATTTGTCTAAACCCTAAATTTAATCCATCTTCTTTATAAAAATTCTTTCCATATCGTAATTTGATGTGTAAATTTACGATCATTTTCGATATGTTTCCTTAAAGAAGTTAAAATTATATTCAGCGATAACGTCTTACATTGGCCCCATTTGATAGATAGCTGATTGGACTTAATTGAAAGGTTTGATCCGTCAAATCCGTTATTGAGCTTGTTTGGTAAATAGCTTATTTGATAAGCTTTTTGAGCCCAAAACTCTAATTTAGAAAAAAACTCATTAGAGCAGCGTTTTGAGAATAGAGGATTCACAAAAATAATTTACTTGAAACTTTTTAATTTGTCTTATTTATTTTACAATCTACATTGGTTTATGGTGCTAATAAATAATAATATATCATTCATATGATTAATTTATCTAGAAAAATGTAAAATTTATAACTTATTCATCAAATGTTAGTAAATTTAAAAAATATATATATATATATATATTTATAAATTACCAACTAAAGAATATTAAATATTTTAATATATTATTATTAAAAGAATACACCCTAAATAATAAAATTTTTTATTGGTCATTTTGCAATGTCAAATAGCTATAAGATTTCAGCTATTTACCAAACACTTATTTAAAAACCGCTAATGCATTTCATTGGTCAAATCAGCTAATATAATTCGCTATTCGCTGATCCCTAAACAAGGCCATTATATTTATTATAATTTTTTAGATCTTTCTTATTTAGTATATTTATTAAATTCACCAAAAATATACAGTATATATATATATATATAATAATGATATTTTTTTATATAATTCAGTCATTTCGATTAATTTGCATATTTTAAATATAAAATCAAAATCTAACCGAAATAAAAAAACTAATAAAAAATAAACGGAACCGACGTGAAAATAAAAAATCGAACCATAATATAGCTCTAATTGGATTCAGATTATCGAGTCTCTCTTGACCAGATAATTTCTTTAACTCAGAATCTAACTCAAACAAATCTTCTTCAATTGGTAATATAATTGAATAATAACGATCAATTATCATTGCATATCACATCAATTTTAATTAATTATTCATCTACTAACATAGTTTAAATTATTTATCACTTTCAATCACCCCTCTCTTACTTTTACATTAAATCAATCTTAATATTATATTTTAAAAATTATGTTATTATAAACTTAAAATCCTACTCAAATATAATTCGATACGACTACTTCAAATTAACTATGATTCTCCCACAAATTCAATTAACATCAAAATAAATTATATCTAATCACCCAATATGTTTCGACATGTTATTTCGATTTCAACTTAAATTATGTTAGAGAAAAAAAAAGATGGAATTTGAAGCTAAAAGCCTAAAAATATGGAGTAAATACTAAATACCAAGGGGTGAACTTTTTTTTTTTTTGAAGAAATACCAAGGGGTGATTGGATATAAACTTTACAGTAACAAAAATCAATCAAAACTCAAATTTAAACTCAACGCCACTATCTTCTATATTATCGATCTAGACTAATTATAAACTGATTCTCGGTCCATCCGGTCGGGCTGTGTCCAACCTAGTTTAATTTAAAAATAATGATTAAATCTTGATTAATATTATTTAAATATAATATATTTAATTTATAATACAATCATAATATTATTTTTTCGTGAATCACACCGATCACACACTAAGTGTAAGAAAAAAAAAGATGTTGAAATTTTTTGGAGGTAAAAGGAGCACGTGGTCAGGTGGGGCGCAGCGTAATGCGCCAGGCAGACTGAAGCAGCTGTCAACATCAAAATTCTCACTCGAAAAAAAAAAAATCAAATCTAAGCTGGCAAACACAATCCCACCTCATTTTCCTAACATGCAGAGTGTAATTTGTCCAGCCGTCTCCCTGCAAAATTTTATTACGGTAACCAGTGAATTAAATATTTTTACTGTTATTTTCCTCTATGAAGTGTGAACCCTCCTTCCCTCCCTATTTTTTTAAAGTTTCCCCTAATTTTACCATTTTTTACTATTATTATTTTGAAGAAAAGTCATCTTTTTTTTTTTGAGAGAGAAAAGTCCTCTCTTACTAGTTATTTATTTCAATTACCAGGGGGCAATTATATATAAATCAACATCAATTTTGATTAAATTTTGAGTTAAAGTAAGTTAATTTTAATAATATTGACTAAGTAGAGTAATATGTAAGATTTTGAGTTTGTATTAAAATAAAATTTAAAATATAATAATTAAAATTGATGTGATATAAAAAAATAGAAGATTTTTATTGAAAATGATAGATAGTTAAGAATATACGAATAGATGAATAGTGAATAAAATTGATGTGACGTATAAAAATGATTAATTGATAATTACATTGATAGTGAGGAGAGTTAAACTAGATTAAACTTGAGTTAAAAAATGTAAAAAAATTATTCGATCGGTCAAAATCAATTTTAATAGACAATTGCTCCCCTAGTGTTGTAACAATCGGGCTATGCATTCAAAACGATTAAGGAGATGATTGAAAATTAACAAAAAGAATGGTTTTGGTTAAATTTTTTGGAGAAAGAAAATTAATTCTTAAAAATATAAATATATCTATTGAGTGCAATACTGAGCAAGATTTTGAGTTTGCATTTAAACAATATGTAAAATGTAATAATTAAATTGATGTGAAGTAACGGTAGATATATGCGACTGTAAATTATGGAGCTTTAAAACTATGCGACGTGATGAATAGCGAAATATGTTAATGTGATTCATGAGAATGATTGATTAATACTATTAATTATATTGATACAAAATATAGGGGAGTTAAGTTAGATTTTGAGTTAAAAGTGTCTACAATAATTATTTAATCATCGAAAATCAGAAATAATTGGTATCCAATCACACCCTAAGTGCCTTTTAGGTGGGTTAAACGGTTCCTGCAAAGCTAAACAATTAAACATCCATATATTAAGTTAATTTAAAAAATCTTGTTGAGACGATATTATAGAATATAGATATAAAATATATTTATTTTTAACAAATCTTGAATTTAAATGTATTAATTAGTATATTTTATTTTATGTACCTTATGATCAATGAATCATTACTTTGAGATTAAAAAAGTGGGGCTATCAAGCTAAATTAGATTTAGTCAGATAAAGTATTAGGTTTATAAAGTTGAAAGCAACATTTTGTATTTTGTGGTACTAACACTTGTTAACCATTAACTAATCTAAGTTTAATCAAGCTTTGTTCTTAAGTAATTAGCCATGCACAAAATCTTAAAACAAAAAAATTCAATATTTTCTAACTTAATTTCACAACATTACACATGCTATTCGTGTTACAAAATTCAGTAGGTGCAAACTTTGCAGCTTTTATTACCAAAAGCATAGTATATTCTTTCCTCTCAAATACTTCCAAGAATATCAAACTTTTATTTTACCCTAAAAGAACAGAATAAACTGCAAAAAAAATGAAAAGCAAAAGTATACAATGGAAAAGAAAACATTGGAATTAGGTGAAAATTGAAACCAAAGTCTATTAAAAAGATAATAATCAACCACTGAAAAAGTCTTTTTACCAACTAAAAACAAGGAGAGATATTCACGGCCGAATTGAATTGGACAATTCGATGTTGTTCGTTTTAGTTGTTTGTAAAGAAAATTTCAATTCGATTTCAGTTAATTTTTTATATGTAGTTGTGTGGTTCATTTATTGT